AGCGTCTCACTACCCCTCAGAGCTCTTTCATTGATAAAGTGGTTTGTATCCCACAAAGTACAGTTTGGACTTACTCGACTCGAACTCCCTCCTAGTCTAGCCAACACTATACCCGATCTTATCAACTACTTCCCTGCCCACGTCCCGTGAACTTTACACACTCGAATCCCTCGAGCACTTAATCCCTAAGCACTCAAAAAGTGTTTATAAAAAGAAAAAAGAAACTAAACAAACGTCGTTCGTCAGCAATGTAAGAACGTTGAAGTGCTGTGACGAACAAAATAAAAATATAAAAATCTCTCAAACACTCACGATTTGCAGCTACTCTCTTGTCTTCAATTGATTGTTTGAGTAGGCTTATATACAATCTTCTTAAGGTAAGGAGTTTTCACAAGTTCTTCATTTTCCTTTTAAGAGTCAATTTCTTTCTCAATTGATTGCTTTCTGATTTGGACAAAATCCTTCATGTAAAGAAGTTTTCTTGATGTAGAAATCGTGCATGTGATTTAGAGATCTTCAGAATTAAGTTTCCAATGGAAATCTTGTGTTCCCAGATTGGGTAAGAACATGACTTTCCAAAAATAGCCGATCTTCCAAATATTCAAAGATCTTGGGTGTATCTTTCCAAATCTTCCTTTGATCTTCTCATGAACGTCCAGAATTCATTATACACGAATTGCTCATCCTTTCGTAGTTCTTGCAACTTATTCATTATCCTACAACAAAGAGAGAACTAATTATAGCATGTGGCATATATGGTAAGTAAATATATAAGATATATATTATGTAATCTTTCTTCTAAAAGATTAAGATTCCATAATATATACTATAATAAATATATACCATATATTATTAATAATAAATATTAGAAACTTAATTAAATTACAAATAAATAAATAGAAAAACATCACTTTAATTTATTTTGCTTGCTTAACAAAAAATCTTTTAGAAAGACACTTTTGTTTGTCGGAGGATGTCAAACCAATGTTCTTACAATTAGTAAAAAAAAGGATATTATTAACAAAAAGATTAAGGATATTAAATAGCCTCTGCATTTCTCTTTATCTTTAGGAAAATAGTAAAAATCAACCGATTGCATAAATATGCTTTTTAAAAAAACTAAAAAAAAAAAGAATAGTTTGTTTTTCACATCTTTTCTTGCATTTTTGTTTATATGTTTATGATGTAATTATAGAGAAATACTACAGTCCCGATACGGAACCATTCTGTCAGGAATTTGAAACCATAGATCATCATGTAATTGTCATTGATAGTTAATCTAATGATTACAAAACTCGACGAAATGGTTCCGTAATTGGACCGTAAAATCTCCCATAATTATAAGTATAGTTTATCCTTATTTAACAGTGAATAATAATAATAATAATAATAATAATAATAATAATAATAATAATAATAATAATAATAATAATAATAATAATAATAACAAATTTTATTTTTTAACTACATCAATGATATTTAAAAAGACACATGAAATGAATAGTAATAATTATTAAAATAATTAAAATTATTTATTATTATGATTTTCATAAAATAAATTTTGGTGACCTAGAAAATATTGGGCTCAACCCAAGCTTGAGAAAACAAGCAAATCAACATTGAATACATGCATAGCATTCAAATTAGATGGCCGGTTTTTGGGCGGTTTCGATTCCGAACCACCGATTCGTATTTTATGTGAATCGCAATCGGCCAATTTTGAAATGTTAAAAAATAAAATTAAAAAGATTAAGATTTTAATTTTAAATTAAAATTTCAGTGCCAAACCAAAGTTGGGTTCAAATTTTTAAAAATACATAAAGTTGAACTGGCCGGAATAAAACCATTGGTCATTCAAGGCCCAGTGGACTTGACCGGGCCGGTTCGGCTAATTCAAATCGACTCTCTGTCGGTAAACATACAGACGAAGTACACTCGCATGGCGAGAGGCTCGCTACGCCGTCTCCTTCCTTCAAAATCTCGCTCAGCTCCTCCCGCCAGGCCTTTCTGCACCTCCCCGCCGCCGGACTCTCCCGTCCGGTCGAAGCTTCTCGAAGACCTCCGGCAGATTAGGGTTCTCATACAGCAGAGGCAGACCAACAGGGCGAAAAGCAGTCTCTACGCCCTCATCCCTCACCAATCCGCTTCTCAACTCTACAATT